AGCGAAAAAATTATAGGAAACATTTTAAAAATACTATGATGAAAATCTCATGAATGACGAAAATAATATACTAGAAGAACCGAAAAGCATATCTTTGATTCTTCTAAACCGAGATATGGACTTAAATCCAGTTTTGATACATCCATGGCATTATTTACCTCTCATATATGATCTTTTTACAATTTCTGAGGATAATATAGCTTAAGTAAAGGATGATGAGAAGAATTTACATATATAAATAGATACTAATAAAGACGCTTATTTAAAGGATAAATTAAATGCGCCTTTTCCAGAAGTATTAGATGATATGTTTAGGATGAATTCCTAATTTTAATTAGAATATGAACACATGATAGTTAATTCTAAAGATGATAATAATAAAAAAGCTATTCAAAAAGAAGTACTTTAAGAAATAGCTAAAAAGAAAAAATAAGTCGAGACTCATATGGCTTTAACTATGAGCATTTCTAAAAATATAAAAAATAGAGCACTGGATGTTCTTTTTGAAAGTGAATAAGAATGTATATTTAAAAAAAGCCTAGGTAATTAATAAAGGACAGAGTTTATTAATGCACTTAAAAATAATAATAATGACTGTGATAAAGTTAGGGCTTTAATTCTTTATTTGATGAATGTTTAAGGAAGCTTAGATGAATTTAAAGAATTAGAAAATGCAGCGAATATTTAGAGTGTTTAATTTAAATAAATTATTGGTTAATATAAATAAAACTGTTTCCTAGATAATGGAAAATAGTATTAAGGGAATATGACAGGTAACCTTTTTGGAAAATTAGCTTCGACTATTTTTACTAATGTAAGAAGTTATTTACCTGGAAATGGATAATAAAGTTATTTGGTGGGAAATATTTTAAAATAGTTTATTGATAGTAAAGGGTAGTAGATTATAAAAAATGGGTTTTAAACTATTAATATTGGAAATAAAAATTCTGAGGAAATTATTGTTTTTTTCTTCAATGGAGGAAACTTTGTTGAGTATTAGGATGTTATGGAAGTCTCGAAAAAAACTGGGAAATAAATTTACTATGGATGTGCGGATATTATGAATGCTGAAAATTTTATTTTTTAAATGAATTGACTAATTTGCTATATTTTGTTTTTGTATAGAATAAAATTTAAAAAAAAAAAATATTATGCAAAATTTACTAATTTTTTTTAAAAAATATATATATATACATATGAAAAAAAATATAATATACAAAATATAATTATTTTCAACAAATCCTTTCAATTTTTATATAATAAAGTTCATATAAATAAAAATAAAGGTCAAAATAAATATATATTTTTTGTTTTCAAACTTTTCTATAAACAAAATTTATAATAGCATAATTTGCATTTTATTAAATAACTTCCTTATAAATAAATGAGAAATTTTACCCTTTCTTAATATATTTCTTTTCCCCTTCTTTTAAAAACGAGCTGTTATCATCTATACTTATTATTAATTTTTTACTAAATCCGCCTTATATAACAGAAATAATCTTAAAAAAAATAAAAAAATAAAAATAAAATAAAATAAAAAAAAATATTATCAACTAAATTTTCATCACAGAAAGCATTTTTAATATAAGTTCCTGGTTTAAAATTAAGGTTAAAAATTATACATTTTTACGTGTTTTCAACAATTTCAATATTAATATTTTCAAAAACAGAACTTTAAACATTTAGAATTTTCCCAATTAGTTAATCATCTTTTATAATTGACTAAACTTTTTCACTACTAAAGCTTTTTACATGAGTTCCATAATATTTTTTAATCTTCCTTTTTTCTTAAATATTTGAAAATCCAGGAATTATGTAATTAACATTTGTTAAATCTTCTTATCTTTTACTAGTAAAAATACCTATAACTCCTTTACTTCCATAAATAAGTCTCTCTCCTTTAAATTCATCTAATTTAGAGTATCTATTTCTTTAAGGATATCTTCCATTTGCGAAAAATTTCTATCCTCCCAATTATTAAATTTCATCTAATTTTATTTCTGTACAATCTTTCGAATATCCTTTTTATTCATAATACTATCGATAATCCTATATATATTTGGGGGACATTATTATTTATTTTTTCCTTCTTCTTTTTATTAGTTTAGTTTCTTGTTTATGCAAAGATTCATCTTTTTCATCAGGTGTCATTTATCGTCGTTTAACTCCTAATTTGGAATTAGTTTATGTAAACAGATTATAGTTATTATTCTAATCTAAAGATTCATTTTTATATTATTCTTGTTCTACTTCCATTAATTATTTTTCTTATTAATTTTTTTTTGGTTTTTGGAGATTTTGATTATTTTCTTTTTCTTTAGGAGGCGTCTTTAATTTTTAAGCTTCAATTATATTTTATTAATTTTTTGTAGTTATTCTTAAACTTTATTCTAATTCTAATTGTACTTCTTATTCGTTTTTATTCTTATTATTTGCTATTTATTTATTATTATGATTTTTATTTTAATCTTCATTTTTAAAATTATCAAACACTTCTATATCATTTTATAAATTAACTTTTGATAGCTATTAATTTTTATCTTTTTTAACATTCTTTTAATTTTTCAATTTTTTATCTATTTTCATATTTTTTTAATTTATTATATTTTAATCATTATCAATTTTTTAAATTTTGATCTTTAATTCATCATCATTTTAAATATTTTTTAATTTTTAAAAATTTTTATCATTAATAATATTTTTATCAGTTTATTTAAATTATTCATCTACTTATTTTTTTGAAATAATTTTAAGTCCTTTTTAAATATTTTCATTTTATTATTATTATTTAATATTTTAATTATTATTATTAATTTATATATTTTTATTTTATAATTTTTCTTGTGAAATTTATTTATTAAAATTATTATTTTATAATTTTTAAACATCCTTAATATTATTACTATAATTATTACTATAAACATTATTATTATTATTATTATTATTATTATTATTATTATTATTATTATTATTTTTTTAATATTGTTTTAATTTATCTATAGTTTAATTATTATTTTCTTAATCATCTATTTTATTATTTTATTCTTAATCATTTTTTTAATTATTATATTAATTATTATTATTACTTGTTTGATTGTTTTCTCCCGTATCATAAATAGGTGATATTTATAGTTTATCAAAAGCACTAATATCATTTTATTAATTTGGATTCTATGAATTTTATTTTCTTTTTTATTTTTTATAAACGAACTCTTAAGTACCTTTTTTATCTGAAAGTTGATTTATAATTTTTTCGTTTTTTTCAAGCAAATATTTTATTTTTTCTTATTTATTTTATAATATTTAACTTTCTTCGGATAAAGTTATATCTAATCTTTCTATATTACTTTTAAGTTCTTAATTTTTAAAACTATTATTATCATTATTATAACTATTTCTATTTTTTTTATTATTATTATTTGTTATTGATTATGCTACTATTTCTATTGGAATATTAGAAATTTATCCTAATAGTTTCATATCTTCGATTTTATCTAAACTCCAGTTATTATTATTTCTTTTTATATTATTTATAGCTTATTATGGTAATTTATTTTTATTAATATCTATTTTATCTTCTGAAAATGGACTTTCTTCTACACTTAATAATTCGTATTATTTTTACTTTTTTTTTGATTAAAAACTTGATGGTGAATCTAATTAAGCAATTAATTCTTAGGAATATTTTTTATCTTCATTATTAAAATAATCTTATAATTTTTCTGTTCCATCATAATTAAGTCCTGTTTCTTAAGATTTTATATATTTTCCTGTTCGTCTATATTACATATATATATATATATATATATATATAAATATATAATTCTATTATATATATCGTGTTTTTACTTTCCAACATATAAATTTTTTTCACTTATAACTTAAAAATTATTAGGCTTTCCTTTTTGTTTATCTTATGCTTTTTTTTAGAAGTTCATTTTTATATATTATATTTATCTATCTTCTGCTTTTATTATTTAAAAATCTAAAAAATAAATTTGAAAATATATATATTTTTTATACTATTTTTCGTAAATACAAGAAAAATATAATAGGAATATTAACTTTTTAAATATATAATAAATACTTCCTTATTATTAAAAAAAATACATATTATATTTTTATTTATTTGTATTTCAGGTTATAATTTTATTTTGAATATTAATGAAACAAAAAATGCTAATTTGAAACAAATGAAAAAAAAAAAATTATTAAAATAAAAAAATATATAAAATATATATTATTTAAAATTAAAATTTAATAAAATGTAATTGTAGATAAATATAGCTTATAATAATAAAAAAATAAATATTTGTTTTAAATAATTAATATTTTCACATTTAGTTTATTTTGACTTAAATATATATTTATATTGTAAAAATAAAAAATAAGTTCAAATTTATATTCTTAAAATAATATTTATAATATTAATAAACAAATATAAATATTATATAAATAAATTATTTTATAAATATTATATATATAGATTTTTTTTTAATTTTTATTATAATAATTTTTTTAAATCTTTTAATGTTTAAATTTGAAATTTCTAATTAAATGAAACTTTTATTTTTGTTTAAATATAACATTTTTATTATTATAACTATTATTATTTTTACAAATATTTTTTTAGTTTCAAATATTATATGAGAAATATTAATAATTATTCATTACTTAAAAAAAGAATAGTTTAATAAATTAATTTAGTTATCTAATTTATAAAACTTTTATTATAATAAAATATTAAACCTTTAGTAATGCATATATATTATTATAATTTTTAGATTTATTTTGTCTTTTTATTTATTAAAAAAACAAAAACCTCATAAAATATATTTAATAATATATATAATAAAATATAATTAACAATCTAAAACCTTAACATATTATATATTTATATTTTAATATAAATTAATATTCTTTTCTTTTTATAACTATAAAAAAAAGATAAATCTAATTAAATTAACAAAATAAATAAATAAAAAAACAAAATAAAAATGGAAAACATTGGATTCCAAGATGTCGAAAATCTACTCCCATCTCAACTATTTTAATTAGCAGAGGAAAATTATACCAAACTTAATTTTCCTGATGCCTAATATTTTTACACTTTATGTATCCAAAAAGACCCTTTAAACGAAGAAGCAGCATCCTAATACGCTGACTTATTAAAATAAACTAACCAAATTGAAAAGGCAATATAATTTTTGACTCAATAAATTCAATATCACCGAAACGAAGGTGACTATAGAAAATATTTACAACTCGCCGATTTATTAGACGGACATGAAAGTATCGAATTGCTCGAAACTGGTATAAAATTAATCCTCTAACACCCTAATTATAACCAATAAAGTGACATAAAACGCGATTTAAGCGAAGCTTATAGTGGTTTAGCAGAAATATACCAAACAGATTTCCTCCATCTTCCCGAAAGTGAGGAAAAAGTAATATTTTGTATAAAAAAAGCAAAAGAAGCTGACCCAACGGCCCTAGATAGTTATTTATAAGAAGCTAATTATTTTCTTAATAAAGAAAATGAAAAAGATGCTAAAATAGCATTAAATACTGTACTTAAAGGTTTAGAAAAATTAAACGAAGAAAATGATCATCATGATGATTCTTTTAAAATTAATGTCTGTAAACTTTGCATAGAGGTAAATGATTTTGAAAGCGCGTTACCTATATTGGAAAATATGGTTTTGAGTAATGATGCGAATTTCGAAGCTTTCTATCTATTAGCTTTTTGTCATTTTAAATGTAATAATTTCTGCACTTCACTTGAGTATATGGAAACTTTACTTACTAAAAAGGAATAGTTTGAGGACGATGGGGAATTATATACTGCTGCCATTGAACTTAAGGCAGAACTGGATAAAACGGATTTTTAAAAAGGGAATGATTGGAAAGATGAAGATGAAAATGAATAAGGAAATAATGATGAAGATTGGATGGATATGGAATGACTTTTTTTATTATTATTAATTAATTTTTTTTTATATAAATATTTTTGTTGCATTTTTTTTTGTTTTTTGTATATAAATGCATTTTTTTTTAACATTAGCTTTTTATTTTTATACTTATATTTTTATATTTATATATTTTTTTTAAATTATTTTTATAAATATAAAAAGAATTGATCTTAGCTTAATATGAATAAAGAAGTAACATATAATCAAAAAAAAAATTTTTAAAATAATTATTTTTTCCAATATAGATGAATTAAACTTTTAATAATTTTTAGTAAAATTTTTGTTTTTAAATATATATATATATTAATTTTCTTAATTTCATAAATATTTTTTTAATTTAAGATTATTTATTATTATAATATATATTTAATTTTTTTTAAAACATAAGCATAAATACTTTTTTTATATATATTTAAAATATATTTTATATTAATTATTTATAATTTTTAGTATTTATTATTTAATTTATTTTAATTAAAAAATTAGAAATATTCTGCAAAAATATAAACTATTTATTTTTCTAGAAACTCTAAACATATTTTCTTAAGATATATACTTCAAAAATTAATTTTCTTTTTAGAATTTTCAATTAAAAATCGATTATATTATTTTAATAAAAATGCTATTAATTTTTTTTACTTCCAATAATAAAAAAAATGAAAGCTAAAAAAACAAAAAAAACTATTCTTTAATATTTTAAAATTCTACTTTTATTTTATTAAAAAAAATTATTCAAAATTAAAATCAATTAATATGATAATTCAATGTAAAATTTTTAAATACAAAAAACATGAGAATAAAATAAATAAACATATCGAAATTTCTTTTTTCTATTCTTTTATTATAAAAACACTTTAAACAATATATATTATTTATAAAAAAAACTAAGAGGAAAAAAAAATTAATAATAATTATTAAAATAATAAACAAACATATAAAAAAGAAAAAAAATGTTCGCCCTTAAATCATCAACATTTTTAAAAGCATTCCCAAAAACATATTTAACGACCCAAGTTCCTATGAATTCTTTTGTATCTTTCCGAAAAGTGACAACATAAAAATCAAAGCCCTCATATTCCGAAGACTCAGCAATGAATGAGCTCGTAACCAACTCGGGAATGTCTGCTTTTCTAACCCGAGTATATAAAACAACAGGTTTAGGTATTTTAACGGCTTTAACGAGTAGTCATTTAGCAGTTCAATCTGGTTTAGCCTTCACTA